CCCTGAGGTGGGCAATGATACTAAATGAGGGATGACAGGAGTGCTTCGGTCTGAGAACTCCTCTCCTTGCCCAGCCCCAGCCATGTGGTGCTGAGGAGCACAGGCCCTGGTTCTGGCCCTGCTGCTCTGCATATGGCTGACCTTGAACAAGTTATTTTATCATTCCATGCCTCAACCCCCTCATCTGTAAAACAAGAATGTTGGATAGTGGATTTCCAGCATTTCCTTTTTAATATTTTTATTGATTTCAGAGAGAGGAAAGGAGAGGAATAAATTCATCAATGATGAGAGAGAACCATTGATCAGCTGCCTCCTGCCCTCCCCCTACTGGGGATCAAGCCCACAACCTGGGCATGTGCCTTTGACCAGAATCGAACCTGGGACCCTTCAGTCTATAGGCTGACACTCTACCCACTGAGCAAACCAGCTAGGGCTATTCTTATGTTTTAATGTGACTATTAGAAAATCTTAAAGTTACTTAGTGGCTCATATGGGCACATCCCCAGTGGGCTGTGTGTAGGAGGCAGCCGAGCGATGTCTCTCTCTCATCGATGTTTCTAACTCTCTATCCCTCTCCCTTCCTCCCTGTAAAAAATCAATAAGAATGTATAGATAGATAGATAGATAGATAGATAAAATTAACCTTTCCCAGTCAGTGACTAAGACCCAGAGTATGACTGAATTTGATAAAACCCTAATGGTGGAAATTGCCTTTGTTTCTCTTGATACCTTGGTTGCCTTGCTTTTGTAGTTACAAAACTGCTTCAAGTTCTTATAAAAATGTTAGTTGGGTTGTAGGATGTTAGTGGATACAGTAGGGTCACATTGTAGATAGAAATGTGATTGATGGCTTTCTTTCTTTTTTTTTTATTGTCTCTGCCTCCGTATTTGCAGATGGATCCTTTACCCCCCACACTAACTGAATGTTCTCCATGGAATGAGGCAGACACTCCTCGAACCCGTGACCTGAAGCACTTACGAGCCAAGCGTGTGGCTTACTATGAAAGCATTGGGATCATCAAGAATGATGCTTCCAGAAATGGCAGTCAACAGGTGTCCACAGGTTCCCAGGACACCAAAGTGAGTCTCTCAGAAAATCAAACCTTTGTTCTGAGAGTACCTCAGAAGCCACCACGTTATTTAGCGATTGGAAAGACACCTCTGCTCCAGGAGGTGTCCAGAGTGGCTCCTAGAGAAACAGAGCAGTACCTGGACCAGTGGACCCAGCAGGGGCCATGGAGAGAGAGCTACCCAGCAGACCTGGACCTACATCTGTTGGAAGATGCCTTGGTGCCTGAGACACAGAAGCTGCGACATGTTATAAATTGGGCCCAGAAGTTCTTGTCCAGCGCTCCAGAAGAGCAGGGGTTGAAGAGTCCCATGACTTCTGTAGGACTCCCTCGGTCTAATCTTTGTCAAAGTTCAAAAGCTCTAGGAAGTAAGAGAAATGCCCGTGTGAGGTCATCTGATTCTCCTCCCCGGCTCAGAGAAGACCAGTCCAGCACACGAACAGGCATTCACAGCTGCTCTTTAAGACCCCAAGATAATTTATCAGAAATGGGCTTGTCTTCTGAATTTTCAAGTTTCTTCCAGAAAGAGGGTTTTCTAGATAGCCAGTCTTGTGTGTGGCGAGGAACTGCAGTTAGGAATGAGGGGGAGGGAAGAGCTGCCGGATAAGTGAGAAAAAACAGTCTTTAGAGTTAGGAAGATTATGCTCAACGCAAGTACAGCAGAGCAAGAGGTAGTCATATCCAGGACCCCAACAGAGATGAGGAGCGGGGGGCTCAACCACAACTCAGACTCACTTCCGAAGAAAGTGATGTTTCAACGGAAGCCGGTCAGAGCCCACCCAGACATGGTTACTTCTGGGCTCCACTGACGGACAGCTCAGAGAAGGAATGTTTAGATGAACCTGAGGGAAGTAAAGGGACACTTCTCAGGGGTGTCCTAGGCAGGAAGTATAGAGGGTTTTCAGGAATTGCCTCGTCTCCCCGAAGTGAGAACACACTAACGTTGAAAGCCGTGGTGCCAAGCAATGTTCCTTCCCCTGGGGAGATACCCCTGGAGGCTGAAGTCAGAGAGGAATGCACAGGAGCAGTGCAGCCCCCTGCGGGGACCCCCAAGGATGTCACAGTGGAATTCAGGGATGACATCTCCAGAGGTGAAGACCCCATCCAGAGACTCCCTGAGGGTCAACTAATGCCTCCCTATGACAGTTCCAATCAAAAGAGAAAGGAATCAGACAACATGGGGTTCACTTTGTGGTTACCCAAAACTGGTATTAAGCATAAAAATAACTGGAAACATGTCACCGCGGAGAGCTCAGGGAAGACTGTCATGGGGAGAGGGCCAAGAGGTGGTCTGAACAGAAGCGTGCAGAGTTCTGCTGAGAGCAGCCCTCCTGCGGCAACTCGGAGGCAATTTGAACTAATACATCCTGAGAGATATGTGACCCCTCAAATTGCCAGCCTCTCGCAGAGTGTGCCTGAGGGCCCCTTGGAGAGTGCTGTGTCTCATGGACCCATGGCAGAGGCACGTGGTACACACAGCAGCGCTTGGTTGGACCAGGTGCCACCACCTAGGATGGATGATGGATCAATACAGACGCCCCGAGCAGCCACCAGGCAAACAACTCATGAGAAAAAGGAAAAGACGCTTTCTTCAGATTACCCCATTTCCCGAGATATTTCCAACACTGGTTTGAAGGGGTCCTTCCCACTCAAGGATGTTGGTGATAGCGTCTCCTGGAGGGATGAGCCACCACGTGAACCAGAGCGAGAGGCCAGTGTGTTGGAGACATATTTCTATTATTTGCGGATGCTGAACAAGATCAGGGGGCTTCCTTCAAAAGGGAGGAGCTGCTCTTTGCCTCTCCAGGGGCCTAGACTCTCTGAATCAGAGCCAGCCATCACATCTGCAGAGGGAAATGGCCGGTCTGAAGGGTCCAGCCTAGACAGGGAGATCAAGGAGTGGAGAGATGGGTGTGGAAGTGATACGGCTCTGAAGGTGAGAGGGACGCCTGTCCCCAAGGACGAGGCTGTGTGGAAGAGGAAACTCCAGAAGAGACCAGCTTTTGGGAACCTCAAGGC